CTTGTCTCTCTCTCTCCTACCTATCTCTCTCTACATCTCTCCATCTTCTTCTCTCTCCTCTTCTCCCTCTCTACTCTCTCTCTTCTCTCTCTCTCTCCTCTCATCAGCTCTTCTCCACCCGTCTCTTCTCTCTCGTCTCTCTCTCCTCTCTACTCTCTCTCTCTGCTCTCTCTCTCTTCTCTCTCCTCTCTCTTCTCTCTCCTCTCTCTTCTCTCTTTCTCTCTCTCTCTTTCCTGAACGGATGGTGAACTACTTTTCTATACACCTAGTGCTGACATTTCTATCATTCATCGACAGTCATCGACAAGGAGAACAGCCACTTCACGACGAGGAAAAGATAAGTGATCGGTTCCCCTTGTCAGCATTCACTGTCATTTTGCAACAATTGATTTCGGGTCGAGGTACAAGGCGTAGGACAAAGAAAACGGAGATATTATGTAAACTAAAAGCAGAAAGAAAACGGGAAAATGAATCACACTGTGGAGAATAACACAAAGAAAACGAAGACGTGGCCAAAGAAAAGGAATATCACAAAGAAAATAGAAAAATAACACGGGGAAAACTGATGAATATCTCAAAGAAAATGGAAAAATAATACAAAGAAAATGGAGAAAAAACAAAAAGCCAGAAAATATGACAAAGAAAACGGATGTATGGAGTAATGTTCCAAAAATGACACAAATAAAACGAACCTATAGCACGAAGATGACAAAGAAAACGCAGAAATGTCGAAACAAAAGTAATTGATATCGGCGATGGTTCGTGATGCCGTTTATTGCAACATTTTAGAGCCATTGTTTCTCCAAGGATCTCCGGCGTGGCATGTTTCAGCGCCTCTTCAGATATATAAAAATATGTTGAGAAAAAAAAGTAGGAAGTGTGAGAACAATATGAAATACAAATATACACAACGGTAAAAGAGAAACAGTACAAAATGATAGAAACAGATCAAGAGTAACAAGCGGTTAGTAGAGGCAGGAAAATGTGATAGATAAGTAAGCAAAACAGGGTTCGTTAAGGCACTCACGAACTCGTGTTTTATGTACATGTACTACAGACAGACAAATGAGAGAGGAGAGACGAAAGACCGACAGACACAAATAGATAGAAAGAGAGCGTGAGAGAAAGAGAAAAAAGTTGAACGAGAAACAAGGAAACGATAAAAACGATGAAACTGAGTCAACCGTCATGGTATACGTCCTTGGGGTGCATCTGCGGTCCCCTTCTCTCTTCTCTCTCTCTCTTCTCTCTCTCTGCTCTCTCTCCTCTCTCTCTCTCTCTCTCTCTCTCTCTCTCTCTCTCTCTCTCTCTCTCTCTCCTTCTCTCTCTCTCTCTTTCTTCTCTCTATCTCTCTCTCTCTCTTCTCTCTCTCTCTCTCTCTTTCTCTCTCTCCTCTCTCTCTCTCTCTCTCTCTCTTTCTCTCTCTCTCTCTCTCTCTTCTCTCTCTCTCTCTCTCTCTCTCTCTCTCTCTCTCTCTCTCTCTCTCTCTCTCTCTCTCTCTCTCTACTTTTAACCCCCCTCCCTTCTCTCTCTCTCTCTCCTCTCTCGTTCTTCTCTCTCTCTGATATAATATCAGTATATATATATATATATATATATAGTATATATATTATATGTATCATACTATATATATAAATTTATAGGATAGATAGATAGATAGAATAGATAGATAGCATAGATAGAAAAAAAAAAATATTAGAGTAGTTATTATATATATATATATATATACATCTCTTCTCTCTCTCTCTCTCTCTCTCTCTCTCTCTCTCTCTCGGTGCTCTCTCTCTCTCTCCTCTCTCTCTCTCTCTCTCTCTCTCTCTCTCTTCTCTCTTTACCCCCTTTTCTCTCTTCTCTATCGAATCTATCTATCTCTATCTCTCCCTTTCTCCGTTTCTCCTCTCTCTGTCTCTTATCTTCTTCTCTCTCTCTTTCTCTATTCTTTTTCAATCTCTCTCTCTCTCTTTCTCTATCTTTCAATCTTCTCTCTCTCTCTTTCTCTCTTTCCAATTCACCCCCCCTCTCTCTTCTTTCTCTCTCTCTCTCTCTCTCTCTCTATATTATATATATATATATATATATATATAGTATATATATATGTATATATATATATATTATATATATATATTTTATAGATAGATAGATAGATAGATAGATAAAAAAAAAAAAATATATATATATATACATCTTTCTTCTCTCTCTTCTCTCTCTTCTCTCTCTCTCTCTCTTCCTCTCTTCCTCTCTCGTCTCTCTTCTCTCTCTCTCGTCTCTCCTCTCCCCTCTTCTCCTATCGGATCCTAAATCTATCTCTAATCTCTTTCCCTTCTCCGTCTCTCTCTCTGTCTCTATTCTTCTCTCCTCTTTCTTCTTTCTCTATCTTTCAATCTCTCTCCCTCTCTTTCTCTTTTTCAATCTTACCCCCCCCCCCTCTCTCTTTCTTCTTCTTCTTTCTGCCCCTCCTTTTTTCTCTCTTTGCGCGCATGTGTTCGCAGCATCGGCCGGA